CCTGCCAGGAGTAGTAGATGCGCTGCTCAGTAGTAGTAGAGATGCGCCCAGGTAGTAGTAGTAGATGCTGCTGTAAGTAGTTAGTTGATGCTTTGCAGTAGTAGTAATGCTGCAGTCAGTAGTACGATGCTGTACTGTAGTAGTAGATCGCTGCAGTCAGTAGTAGATGCTGCGAGTAGTAGTAGATGCTGCAGTATAGTAATGCTGACAGTAGTAGTAGATGCTTAGTAGTAGGTGGATGCTGCAGTAGTAGTAGATGCTTGCAGTAGTAGTAGGATGCGCAGTATAGGAGTAGATGCGAGTATAGTAGATGCTGCCAGTAGTAGGTAGATGCTGCCAGTGTAGTTGATGCTGCGAGTTCTGTTAGTAGGGTAGATGGCTGCTGCAGTAGTAGTAGATGCTGCAGTAGTAGTAGATGCTGCAGTAGTAGTAGATGCTGCAGTAGTAGTAGATGCTGCAGTAGTAGTAGATGCTGCAGCAGTAGTAGTAGATGCTGTCGTAGTAGTTGAGGGTCGTGCAATCTCTCTACGATCGTGTTGCAGCTTGCTCGGATCGATGTTCCCGATGCCGCGCGTCATATACGCGATGGCGAGCGATGGCCTCTTGTTTCGCTTCCTCGCCCACATCAACGAACGATTCAAGACGCCGATTATCGCCACGGTGGTGTCCGGCCTTCTCGCTGGTAAGCTTCCGCGCGTGGCGGGTCTGCGTTCCCCGTCTCGGCTTTACGGTGTATCCTCACAACCTCGTAAAGATCAGTCGTCTTCAAAGTTTAAGGGACTACATCAAAGACGCAGAGAGACAGAGTTGATTGAATAGACAGATCAACACTGTCTATCACTCTTATCTGTATCAGTTATCAATCTAATAGATATCTATAAGTTGTCTTTAAGTTTACTTTCTTCATTTTTGTCATACCAGATTGGAATTCCCTTCCTTTCTCGTTCGTTTATTGCAAAATTGAAGCTATTTCAACTGCAAAAGTATTCAATAGAAAAAGCTTCATAGAAAAACTCGATTCACAACTCCTGAGTGTGTCAGAGGGGGCGATACGTCGTCGGCGCATCCGGTGCGAGTTTGGCGGGCGACGTCCGAAGCTCGAGATTCGACGGCAGGGACGACGCGACAACGACGTACGACGACGACAACGACGTTTCTCCCGCCCGGTGCACTCCCTTGTTGTGAATACAGGGAAATCTATGCAGTGTAACGTCGTACACACGGGGTGACATATGCGTGCGTGACTGGCCGTCCATAGTCCTGAGGGCCTGTGCGAATGCGCTCCGAGTCCCTCAGCCTCGCCGTCATTTCACCGACTTGATTTGCTGGGTTTAGGCTTCATGACGACGATATTTGATCTGAAGGAACTCGTGGACATGATGTCGATCGGAACGTTGCTAGCGTACACCCTCGTCTCCTGCTGTGTGCTCATACTCAGGTATGTTTATGTACATGATGTGTCATATGTATAGATGTGAGGTGAGCTTCCAAGTCATCCATGTGTGAGACCAAGCCAACCACTCACCTTCACCCTCGTTTTGCTCACTCTTCCTCCCTTGCTCTCCTTCCTTGCCTCCTTCAAAGCCAGTAATTGATTAAGTCTATTAAATTTTGAGCTTGAGTAGCTTGTTACCTGCTGTGTCGTGAGCCGGATCGTAGAAACCGAATCATCTGCCCTCACGTTCCATTCTGCAGGAATGCAACCGTAGTGCGCTTCATACGTGTAGGTTACGCGATGTTGTTGTTCTAATTTTCACAGTGTTACGTGGTACCGGCTGTGCTGCCTGAGGATTGCGGTTTTGCGGGCATTGATATTGATATTGAACACTAGTCGTGCATGAACTGATGTTCCATTGTTTTGCAGGTACCGCTCGGAGACGCTTGGTAGGAAGGGTGATGGCGCCCCCAACCTGTTGGTGCGGCCTGAGTCACAGGTACCCCTGAAACCGAGCACGAGCGGAGACTTTGAAGGGTAAGACCTATACGTAGTCGTTGTGGGACTTATGACTACTAATGTGTATGGTCATATAACATAACTATATACTAGGTACATATAGGTATCACATTGTGGGTATCATGTGATGTCGGGGATTTGCCATAGTAGCTGGCCCAAAAGTAGATTTGTGTGTCGGTGTGTGCGTGTGCGTGTACGTGCACATGCGCATGTGTGTGGGTGTTGTCATTGATGTCTTTTAATGTTTTAATTTCACATTTCACACCCTTGCTGACTTGAAATGTGTCCAGTGGGAAAAATACACGGGGGCTCGGGGCGATTTA